CATGTATCGTATTGTTTAATGCTTTAGCAATATAAACGGGATGTATATCAGAAATCCTGACATGGGTGCTCATAAAGACCCATGTTGCAAAGGTCGCACTTCCTCTTTCGAGGAGATGAACTTTCTACGCACTTCCTCTTTCGAGGAGATGAACTTTTTATGCACTTCCCCTTTCGAGGAGAACATCTGTTATGTATTTCCTCACTGGAAGTGAACAGTTAACCACAGCAACGAAGAAGGACACCTCTAAAACGCACCAGCTTGCACGCAAAGCATGTGACAAACAACGTGTCAGACCATGTGACAAGCCGCGGGAAAGAAGAGGATAAAAGAAGACTGAAGAACATCGGAGAGCAGTTCCTCTTTGAACCCAGTTCGAACGTGAACTCTCCTGCTTTAGAAAGCTACGGAAGACGATCGTATTACTTACTCGTATTGAGGCAAAGATCTCGGATATAATATGTATCTGGGCAAAACGCATTTAATTTTTTATTGATGTGTGGTGTTGTAACTTGTGAAACTTTAATAAAACGACCTGTTCACATTTGTGAGAGGAAACTAAAGTCCATATAGCCCTTCTGATTATTGTTGGATAGGTGACAATTCAGATGGCAATGTAACCTGTTCCCACGTAGCTTGAGTCCTGAGTCCAGTTTGATTCCAGTGTCCTGTTCCTTGGCTGAGGATCAATCCCTGACGGAGTCTTGCTGAGACACCAGAGAGAACAATAGGTAAGTTCCCCCCTAAGATAACTCTGTTGCTGGATTCTATGTCATATTGGAGGTCGCCATGATCGGTGGATCGTAAATACGGCAGCAGTGCTTTACGGGTATTGAATCCCAAGGTTTCAGAGGTGTGTTCATTAAGGTCTGTGTTTAAAGTCTAAAGGGAAAAACTAACAGGGTAAAAGTTGATGTATGTGTAAAACTGATGAATGGAGGTAGTATAGAAAGAAGGGAGTTTGTCGGTACCTCGTGGTGGTGTGTGGGTCACACCTTTTATGCCTGGTCTGAGTAAAAACCGTAACCTTTTAAAGGAGAGGTGTCATGCTTTTCCGGTTCATTTAAATGAACTCCATCTTTATCAACATAAGTGGACAATATGTTTAAAGTTTTTGTCCTACTGATTTTCTGATTTATACGTTAACCACTGACTGTTGATTAACCATTTTATTGTGGATTGAGGGCTCCAAGTCTCCATATAGAGGTATAGGATGATTTGATGTATTGTTCTTTATTTTTAAATGTTTTGCATCATTGCCATCCTGTTAAAGGTGGAGTAGGTAATTCACTTCAGAAACACTTTTTGCTATATTCCATGGAATGCTCTTAACAGCAACGAATACATGAAATACTTAGACCTTAAATACCTAATTTTTTTTAATATGTGGCGCTGTAAAAAGCTCGACCAATCATTTTAGCCGGCCCGGCTAAAATAACTGGATGGCCTACCTGCCTGTCAGCCTTCCATCTCGTGCACAAACTTATCTCGTGCCCTCATTGGTCATGTGCGCGTTCGTGTGTGTTGGAGGAGGGGCTCTGTAAGGAAGTCTGAAGGAAGGGGCAGATTTTTTTTGGCTGCGTACTTTCAAATTCTAGCGCACTCGAGCTGGTTTCTCCATTCTTACCTACCCTACCTTTAATGAGCCCTGTTTTACATAAATGTACCTGTTATCTGACTGTTTTTGCTTCTGTAACTGTAAGGGAATGCATTTTTCTATTTTGTATCCTGATGACCTAATGCCGTTACATGTAATACGTTACTCCCTAAGCCTGATTTCACCCACCTGCAACCGATTCGCTAATAATCACAAATGTTCATTTCTTTGACCCCTTGACTCGACAACTTTCTTGTTTAATAATCGTTACATCTCCTCAGGACCAAGTTCCCGTGTCCTGCCTTTCACCTGCTGATCACCCACTGCTCATTTAAGGTGGACTGACCTTTACAATGGACCAGCTAGTCTTAGTGTCTTAATGCAAACGTTTTGTAAAGTGATGCTAGACCAAAAACGTCCTGTTGGGTTGTGTGCTCTCTGCAGGACGGTGGCTGTACTCAAAGATTGTTTATGAAATTGGAGCTTCACTTTGTTTTTGTTGTCCAAACGACCCCAACAGAGCGATATGTCTTCTTTCCAGCAGGTGGCATAAATGTTACATCATCCAGTTCAACTGTCATCCACATATTAATGATTCAAAACAGCAATGTGTAAGATATGGCTAGTAATTTACTATTTCAACAGAATGTGAAGAGGTTACAGTCTTGAGGCCATGTCCAATGTGTTTATGTTTTGTTTGATTAAATCTACTGAAATGAGCATTCAATGACTAAATTATTCTTAATTACTGTCAAAACATCATGGGTTTGCATTGCAATATTAGAACGCATAAAATCCAACTTTATTTCTTCTAAGTTGCGGGTGTTCATTGTTTAGAAGTCTTTTGTGCTTCGATAATGCTGAAAGTATCTGTTGTATGCTTTACCTGCTCCAGTAACAAAAGTGTAATTCACCGGACAGAGACAAGAGATAGTGGATGGATCCAGAAAAGAACCAGAAGATAGTCCGTATAGAGCCTTCAGGTTCTGAAAATGATCAGCGATAGAGCTAGAAAAAAAACCCAAAAACCTGAATAGAGCTAGAAGATAGCCAGTATAAAGCCAAGAAAGACCCAGTAGAAAGACAGGAAGGAGCCAAAAGAGTTTCCATTTTTAATTTTTTATCTTTTAATATTCAAGCTCTCCTCTTAAGATATTAAAACCTCCTATCTCAACATGTATCCTTTTATTCCAATTAAAAAAACATACATTTTTGCTGCCAATTATTGAGATTGTTTCACAGCTTTTATCTTAAAATATTTAGACTTTTTTCTTTACATATACATTACATAGGATGAACATCACGATCCACTGTGCTGGATTCTGCCCAAATCTGTTCCAAATGCATGCAAACATCTCGCTTTATCCATACTCCTGCAGTTATATTGTTCTGGATACATAGTGAAGTTTATTAGATGTTCTGCACTGTTATTGTTATGTATTTAATATAAAGTGAAATACCCATAAAGAAAGTCAGAAAATAAAAGAGACTCACTTAAGGAAAAAGGTTCTGAACCAGTGAGAGTTCTTCATTTGCACATAAACATGATAAAATAAAGTTGTGACCTGGGGCCTCATTTATAAAGGGATATACGCTCAAAAAATGGCGTACGCCAGTTTCTACGCAATGTTTGCGATTTATAAAATACTAACTTGACGGGAAAATGTGCGGTCCTCCACGCAAACTCTAACCCATGCGTGCGCACTAAGCACAACAACGGGAGAGACGAGAAACTGCGACACCGTTGGCAGAAGGAAGAATGGAGAGAAATATGTGGAAATAAATAAAATGTTACCTCTCATTTATCATATATGAAGAATTCATTTTCAAACATTGATTAAAGCCAATCTTAAAATGATTAAACAAACGCCTGTTTGAGACTCCTCAGTGCACACAAAAACATAACTTGGAGAAATAAATAAATACGGATATGTTATTTAAAACCACCTCGAATATGTTGTGTTAATGTTATGAAATGTTTTCTCATAAATGATGCGGTAAGCAGGAGGACAGAATAACGTCTTAACTAACGCCGTTTTGCATTTCTATAGGTTGTAGATACGAGCGTGGTTTTATATACTATCACGTATAATCGTTTTTATGCCGTTTGCCAAGACTTGATAAGTCGCTCGTAAAACACAGGAGGTATGGACACTAAGAACACCATGGTAAATTGTACAGCTAATATAACACAACACATTAGTTGTATTTCCTTTAACTGGTGGATTATGGATATATAGTTGCTGATCGACAGCTGGAACACAAACCACCAAATACAACAAAAATAATTCAGATCCAGTCGTCATGACTCCACTCCGGAGGGATTCCCCGATCATTTCTTACAGTTTCTCATCAAGGGGGGTCTCCTGTCCCCGGTACAAACACACTGCCAGAGGAAGGTTATGTGTATTTTTTTTGTCATTAACTTTTTTCGGACCACTTATTTGTTTATTTTGGTGACGATCCGACCTCCATGCTGCTACTCTGGTTCAAACTGCATCCACCAAACAATATGATTTATCTCGACCTCCCCAAAATAACCAAAATCTGACACGGTGTGAGATGTCTTTTTTAGCTGTTCGGTCGTAATTTCCTGCGATCTTCTTCATGCAGTCAGTCAAAATGAATGAATGAATGGGCGTTTCTTTGACTATTTATAGGCAAATATGGGCGTTACGAGTCGATTGTGATTTATAAAGGGAAACAGGCGTATGAAGTGCCGGTACGCACTTCCCTCGCCGGTACGCAATGTTTTGTGAATCGGAAAATGTCGGAACATTTCTGTACCTATTTGTTTGCTTTGCACTACGTAAGCAACCTTCTCACGTCAATCCTAGCAAGGCGTTATAAATGAGGCCCCAGATGGTGTCGCCCTCTGTACACATTTAACGCTTTGCATTTTATGGATTTATTTTGCCTCTTATACCACACTGCAAGTCTGACATTTATTAATGAGACGACTGGAAGTTAAACTGCAGATTTAAACACTTATAAACACATTTTTGGTCATGATCCAGGCTCTATGTTCACAAAGAGAAGGATATTACAGTGTTTTGGGGCCTATGTCGGTTTAAAGCCAGCGGAAGGGTGTATTAGTCTGGGAAATAACTCATAAAGTTGTAAATTAACAAGAACGAAACTGTGATACCGTAAAAAAAAAGTGTTTGGAGCTTGTTCTCCCCCAGCTCTCCTACGTGATGTCCGGCTGGCGTTACTTCGTCTGCCTGTTCGAGTTCCACAACGACTACAACCGGTTCCAGGTGGACTGCGAGCCGTCAGAGCTTTTCCAGCTGCAGGACTACGCCCTGCCCTCCGTCCTGGAGTCCTTCACCGGATGGGTAAGACTCTCCTGACCTTCATCTGTCCTTCCTGTTTTCTGGCATCACAAGTCATATAAACATTCATGTAACTATGAAACAATAAAATCACTATATTGCAAATCCAGTATGCCAAAAAACAAGAGGAATCCGTAATATTTGTAGAATAATGTATTTGTGTAGCAACCTTTCAAACACTTTGGAAGTGGACAATGCCAAACCGATATAATACAGCATCTCTGTAAAGCTATAAAAAAATATAGACGGTTTATTCCTAACAGGTCAAACATTACACATTGCAGACTAAAAGCTTATTACATTGATGTCAGGACCTAGCCTGTAGTTTCAGCTAGTTTTAATTGTGTCAGCTATGTTATTTAGTTGTAATTCTGTGTTACTCATTAAGTAAAGTTAAAATATATCTAAATGTTGTTTCTAGAGTATATTAACAGAACCGAAGTCCCGTTTAACACCAGGTTTTTATCATACGTTTCAACCTCATTATATTTTTCTGATACTAAAAGCCTGGGGATGCAAGTCCTATTTTAGCCAAAGCACTAGTAACTAGTTTAGTTTGATTGAACTGCTGGTCTCTGTTTCAGTCTGACACATGTTCTTTGTCTCCGCAGACCACGGTGCGTCTGTATCCGTTCCAGATCCACAGCATCGCTCTCTCCTTCTTGCCTCCATCATGGGACCCTTCGGAGGATTCTTCGCCAGCGGCTTCAAGAGAGCCTTCAAGATCAAAGTAGGGATTTTTGACACATTTGTTTTCTTCAAAACACTCCAACTATCCCTTTTAATGTCTGTTGTCTTTGCTCCATTTATATTATACGCATATCAGCAGTCTGATCACATGTAGGCTACTATTGTCTGTTCTTCCAGGAGTTTGCTAACACGATCCCGGGTCACGGTGGCATTATGGACCGGTTCGACTGCCAGTACCTCATGGCGACATTTGTTAACATCTACATTGCCAGCTTCATCAGGTAAACACACAGCTATGGTTTGTTAATATGTTTTATAACCTAATTAGCAATGTACAGTGATAGTGAAGGAATTCATCATCAAAGTTAGTGGTTATTTTTTTTATTTCCGACTGTTAGAGAAAGCATTTTATTTCTTGAAGAAAACAAACTGTTGGTTGAACATTAAATTAGCTAGCTTGCTAATAATCATTAAAGAGTTATCTCTGTCTCTTGTCCCTTTTTCAACATAGAAGACAAACAGAACAGCCAACAAGAAATAATAAAGAAAAAATATATTATGACAGGAATACTATACTTAATGACATACATAGTCATAGTGGGAAAGAACATACAAAATAGTATATATAATACAAATAAATAAATAAACTTAAAGGTTATGTTCATGTTTTTTGTATTTATTCTTCTACCGCCCTTCAATTTATTTGGGATCGATGGTGAGATTTGATGGTTATAATCTTAGTAATTTCCCTCCTTAATTATCTTCCCTCTCCTCTCAGGGGCCCGAACCCCAGCAAGGTGATCCAGCAGCTCCTGGCGCTGCACATCGACCAGCAGCTCCACATCTTCAACTCCCTGTGTTGCCATTAATGATGACAGGAGGCACAGCCGGGCCCTCTGTCTGATGGACAGAACTGTGTTCATGATGACTTATATATTTACTTTTAATTCATTCACAGTATGGTATAATGAGACAATAACAGGCTAAAGATGCGGACATACACACACACACATATATATATATATATTTATATAAATATATACAATTTCACAATCAAACAAGTAGGAGAGCACTCCCCCCCCCCCCCCCTTTCTGGTCGCTACAATGAGGAAATGAAATTACGGGCCAAAAGTTTTATTTACAAGTATTAAAACGAAGCATTGGACACCAAACCAACTGAGACCTGTCTGTCCGCCGCATCCATGCACACACACACACACACACACACCACACACACACACACACACACACACACACACACACACACACACACACACACACACACACACACTGTACCACATGCACCTACACACTGTACAACACGCACCTACAGCTCCTAAAGCATATAATATCAGGCTACAGCCATTGTGTATTTTATTATGTGAAGCACTAAATTGTTTTAGATAAATATTGACTCTTTGTTTGTAGATATCTACTAACCTAAAGCAAATAAAGAGAGTAATGTAGGCCTGTTATACTGAGTGATATGTATTATACACACTGCTCTCCTTTCTGCACGGACCTCACAGCTGTTCTCACTGTAAACATTGCGTCGCGATGAAAGCAGTTAATAAAATAATATCCAGGGGATGCATGCAGAGCTGTCATTGGCTGAGATAAGTCCGGCCATGCTTCACAACTCTTTTAAACATCACTGTTGCCGGAAATGCATCCGTGGAGGACCGTGGAGGACCCATCAGTGTATCCTCGATTATAGCTCCTCCAGAGAGCCTCCTCGACGCTCGATCCTCGGTCCTCGATGTGCATTTAGAGAAATTAGGGTTGCGGTCGAATAGTCCATTTAGCTTAGGAACCTTCCTAACGGAGTGAAATGACCCGGAAGTCCCTCAGTGGCAGCCATGATAAGTGCCGTTCGAATTCTCTAAATTAAAAGGAAAGGAGGTTTCAAACTTCCTTTATAACCTCCTTTAGCTTAGGAACCACTGGACCTCCCTAACCGAAAGGAGAGGAGAAAATGCTGCCCCACAATGCCTTGCGGCCGCGGCATTTGCCGTCACACAACAGTCGGCCGTCACACAACAGTCGGCCGTTCACGGAAACAACCGATTATGAACGAGAAATGATACCATGAAAGTTACGGTGCTTATTAAGCATTTTAAAACGTATGTGGTAAGTTGCCAAAGTGCTTTGTTTTGAACGTTCATCAGTATTATAATCAAAAAGAGAAATATGAACGTTAGTTTTTACTGAAATGATCAAATAAAGTCAACATTTCAGTCTTTACTGAGCTGTGTGGGGTTTGTTCAACTTTTAAAAGATGTTTGAATGGTGATATACACAGTGATAGATGTTAAGGACTAACGTTTATAATAAATACATTTGTATTGATTTTAAGATCTTTTCATACAATCATACGTATTGGGATCATTTGTATTAATGTGGACCGGAGGGAGAGGGTGACGAGCATAAGTTTCACTTTCCTTTTTTATTTCAATTCCAACTTTGGTCATGAAGAATATGTTTCTCTGTTGTCCCCGTTCATAAAGCATAAAACAACAGTATCAGAGCACGGTGCAGAGTCTCTAGATGAGTTTACAGTAGCCCCTCGTTCTTATTAAACATCCATGTTGTAGTCCGCTGTATAGAAAACTGTAGTTTCCATAGTTTCCCCACAGCAGCAGACGCACATTTATGACCTCCGCTGGCGCATCATAAACACGTCAGATAGTGAAAGTGCAGTCGGATTCTCTAAAGTACCGCAGTCTCTTCTCCTAAATCCTTTTGAATTCTCCTATCCACTATCCCTTAACCCCATGACGTTTCACTCCGAGGTCAAGGAATAGACGATAGGGTTAGAACTTAGGAGCTGTTTTTTTGGAGTATTCGACCGCAACCTAGATGTCCTTCAACATGGCGCGCCGAAAACTATTTCCGGGTCACTTCCGGAGGATCGAGGATTCGAGGAGTCGAGGAGGGGAAATTAGAGAAATAAGAAAGGCCACGGGTAATTTCACTCGGTTAGGAAGGTTCCTAAGCCAAATGGACTATTGGGCCTGTTCTCATGTCTTTAAATGTCCCTCCTCGACTCCCCTCCTCGACTCCTATCCTCGAGACTTAGTCCCGCCCACAGGAGATGCGAGCGGAGGAGCCGAGGAGGGGAACCGAGGAGAGAGGAGGGGAAGCAGCAGGCGGTTAGAGAAATGAGAACTCCTCTCCTCTGAGCGGTCATTTTAAAGAGACGTCCATTAATGATGACAGGAGGCACAGCAGCCCTCTGTCTGATGGACAGATGTGTTCATGACGACTTATATATTTACTTTTAATTCATTCAGTGCGGTATAATGAGACAATAACAGGCTACAGATGCGGACATACACACAGACACAGACACACAGACACACACACACACACACACACACATATATGTATATATTTATATAAATATATACAATTTCAGAATCAAACAGAGCACTCTCATAATAACGTAACACTATCAGAGACTGGATATATCCCCCCCCCCCCTCTCTGGTCGCTACAATGAGGGAAATAAAGTTTTATTTACAAGTATTACAAGTAAGCAGAGGACACCAAACCAACTGAGACCTGTCTGTCCACTGCATCTACGCACACACTGTACCACACACACACACGCACCTTCAGCTCCTAAAGCATATAATCAGGCTACAGCCGTTGTGTATTTTATTATGTGAAGCACGAAATGGTTTTAGAAAAATATTGACTTTGTTTGTAGATATCTACTCAACTAAAGCAAATAAAGAGAGTAGGCCTGTTATACTGAGTGATATGATATATATTATACACACTGCTCTGCTTTCTGCACGGACCTCACAGCTGTTCTCACTGTAAACATCGCGTCGCGATGAAAGCAGTTAATAAAATAATATCCAGGGGATGCATGCAGAGCTGTCATTGGCTGAGATAAGTCCGGCCGTGCGTCTCGACTCTTTGAAACATCACTGTTGCCGGAAATGCATCCACGAAGGAGCCGTGGAGGAACGTGGAGGACCCATCAGTGTATCCTCGGTTATAGCTCCTCCAGAGAGCCTCCTCGACGCTCGATGCTCGGTCCTCGATGTGCATTTCGAGAAATGAGATGTCCTTCAACATGGCGCGCTAAAATTCATTTCCGGGTCACTACCGGAGGACCGAGGAGTCGAGGAGGGACATTTGATGACATGAGAAAGGGCCTTGGACTGCAACCCCGAATAGTGGCTGCTTCTCACTTCTCTTCCAGTCCAGTTGGTGGCGGTAATGCACTTACAAGTTGGTTTGCCAACCACCAAAAAAACACCAAAGAAGAAGAAGAAGAAGAAAAACCGAGAGAAGAAGAAGAAAAAGAACCCAGATGGCGTCTCGTCTCTAGGTCGCTACGGTTCTCTCTCTCTCTTTGTTCCTGAGACATTGTGTGAGCTCCAGCACTACTGATACATAATCTGTGCGTTTGGATAAACCTCCGAATGGACTGTGTGCTCTTTTTTTCTGGAGCGTTTACCTCGGACTATAGGAGCTAGCTTAGCATGCTAGCTGGAAACACGTTGTCAACACTAGTCAGATTGTGAGTTTGATGGAGAGAAAGAAACAGTGTGTTTAACGGAGTTCGCAGGAAAAGGTGATCTAGTAAACATGAGTAAAGTCCAAATGCTGCTTTCGTTGAAGAAGCTGCTACTCACTCCTGCTGGTGAAGAGATATTTGCTCTGTTTGAAAAAACGATGGCAGAGTACGAGGAGGAGCTGTCTCGTTCAAAAGAGGAGAACAAGAGACTCCAGAAACTACTGGACGCTGTTTTACAGCCTCAGCTTCGGATACACAGAGCAGGTCTGTTCCCTTTACTCTTAATCAAGACTTTAAACCAGGGGTGTCCAAACTACGGCCCGGGGGCCAAATGTCCCTGGCCATTTTGAATTGGCCCTCAGCTAATTCAAAAAGTATAATGAAATATGGCCCACAAATTAAACTTGTGCTTTTCTCATATTGTAATTCTTAAATATATATGTACAAATATATTACACAGTAGTATTCATGTGTTCAGCCCACGTTTAAAATAAATTCCGTCAATTCATGTTGATAACACTTTCTAACAAATCTTTGTTGATATAAAAAAAGCCTAATAACTTATTTACATAACAAGCTTGAAATAGACCCTTCATATTTCATGTTATTATAATCACTTTGAGACTTCTGTTTTTAAGGGATGAGCTACCAACAAGATAAATGAATCCCTATATAGAGCTGTGATGTAGGCTGTTTTTTTCTTAAAGGTTCCATGACATTCTTTTCCGGTTATTAACCGTCCCCTTGTGTGTTTAGATTTTTATGCATGGAAACGGTCTGCAAAGTCACAAACCCTCAAAGTACACCCTGTAGCGAGTACAACTCTAAAGGCCCTGACACACCAGGCCGTCACCAGAGAACTCGCCGACAGTTCCATCTACGAGTTCTCCTGCGTCTTGGCCATGTGTCACACTGGAATACACCGCAAAGACTTCAGCCGAGCACGTACGAACTGCGCATGCGTGAGTGGCAATAACTGTCCTTACCAACAGGCGGTGGTAGTGTGTATTCGTCATTCAAAATAGGCAACAACCGGAAGACAGAGAAGAAGAACAGACTGCGATATAAACAAACAGCAAATAGCGTGTGCGTTCCATTTTCACTCTCGTCCATCGAAAACATGTTTTAGAATATAAAAATACATGAATGATGAAATGAGCACATAAAGTGCAGACATACTATAAAATCACAGTTAATAGACCTGCATTTGATGATCGCAGTGTTCTGGCTGGTGTGTAGTTTATTGAGTCAGCAATGTAGTAATGTATGTAATGTAATAATGGCCACTTCTTGCTAAATTTACATTTCCATGTGATGATTTTATCCGAGGCGACTCACAATAGAGTGGCGAAGTCACGCCCACCTACTTCCGGGTAATGGGACCTTATTTCGG